GATTCGGATGAAACTGACAGTGATGAGGAATCCAGTAGCGAAGGATCCGTGGCCACAATCATACAAAACGACAACCAGGACAAGCAAACAAGGATCAAGAGACCTCCTGACAACAGAATTATCAAGCAATTCAGACAGTACTGTGAGAAGAGTCGGCGTAGCAACATCCCACTGAATGCAAAGCAGGCAAGGGGCGTCAGGCTGATGGATATCTTACGAAAGAACAAGACACCTCTGACTGCCTATGATGATTATTCTTGGCTGGCACCTAGAGGAAACTGGTAAGCGAGTTGGAGATGAGCCAATCGGTGAGTGCCAGACTACCTCAGCCGCAAAGCATTGATGAGCTTGCTCAAGAAACGGTACAACATGACCGACAAGTTTCCTTTCGAAAAGGAGATAACGCTCCTCATTGTGGTGCAAAGATCAAGGTTGTGTGCCTGGAGGCTCACAATTTGTGTGGCAGTTGCTTGCCGATCCACGTCTTACGGATGATGATTTCTGCTTCTTTGACAATGATCCGTTAGCTCCACCACCCAAAATGACAACCAAAGTGGGGCAGTTGAATACTGGTGAGGCATACAGAAATGCATACTTCGAATACGTCAAGAATCCAGAGAAACAGATGGGAATTGGCATCCAATGGTACATCGATGGAGCAGTGACTGGCCAGTTTAACAACCTATCCGTCACAGCATTGAAGATGACGTTGTCCTGTTTCACGCTTGATTATCGAAAGAAAGATCATGCGTGGGCAATTCTTGGGTTTGTGGTCAACTATTCTGCCGGCAAAACCAAAGGCAAGAAGATGTATGAAAACACACAGCATGACCAAGCAAAGAGGACCTGAGAATTATGAGAGATTTTGTCGCAGAGGATCGTGGGGAGACAAAGGAAGTGTTTGTATTTCAGAGAGGATCATGATTTCATACGCAGTTCCTGGGCGGCGCAACTGCTCATTCTTACTACCGCTTTGTGATGCAAATTGTCCTGTTGGTGTCGTGGGATCCATTAGTCGTAGTTGATTATTCTCTTTCTTGGTTTGTTTTCCGGTTGGATGACCTCACCTTCCGAAACTGCTGAATTACTACCAAAGCTTTAACCAGCGACGTCACGATTTTATATGCCAAACACGTGGAATGGAATGGTAGGGGTGCTCCCGTTTTCGCGCTAACTAAAAATGCGGTTCTTAGATGAAGCGAATTCCTCGCCAGGGTAGTCGAAGTTCTTGAAATCAAACATGCAAAGCAACGCCCAAGCTCCCCATCACCCAAACCCACCACCCCTCTCTTCTTCACCGACAGTATGAAAAGTCTGAGAAAGGATGCAACAATTCAGGAGTTGTTTATTGTTACATTCTTCTACCGCCGTTGCATGGAAGGCTACCAGCTCAAGCTGAAGAGCCCTGAATACAAAGCAAAGCTCAAGAGTGAACAGAACTCGATCAAAGGTCAGTACAAGAGACTGAAGAAAGTCGTCAAAGTCATGCTCTTCTGCTGTGACAGTTATCCATCTCCACCACCCGAAGATGTTGAAGGCTTCAATTCTTGGCAAAAGAAGTTAACGGATACTGCAGAGCAGTGTGCCAGTGAGTTAACCTCTGCATTGACTGCCTGAAGAAGAGTCACTCCTTCCCAAACGCATCACGCAAGCATACATTCAAAAATCCTCATCTGTTGCCGCCTGGGATAATCCACATTCACCCAAGGCAAAACATGCTCCTCACAACACTCCCCAGTCAGTGCTAGCTCATTTTGCTTTTAATCCTAGTAATTCTAAGTAAATGCTTCTGACAACCTAGCTAGGACTTCCAATGATACCTCTCTTGCATGACAAAGACGCGGTTTCAGCCACTTCGATGCCATCTGGAAGCGGTACCCCCTGCAGAGAACACCACCTTCGGCAAGCACACTGCCCAGTATTTCCTTGATGGCAACAAGCTTCACACGCAAAATTGTTCGGTGGTTGGAACCCTTTGTTGGAGTTAAGATTGGGCCAAGAACTAGCTCAATCGGGCTGATATTGACTGAGATATGGTCTGCTCAACTAGGGGCTTCCGTCGCGACTTCCCAAGATGGCCCAATCTGCCGGTCAATTGAAGTCGTCTGTTAGAGCTCTTCCTCGTGCAATCACCCGGTTGCACTTTTGTGCTTCATGTATCAGTCGATGTTGTCGATTGCACATATCTTTCGTTTGGTGGGGTTGTTGCGGACACAGTTCTTGTTGTTTGTTGATCGGAGCCTTCTGCTCCTGATGTCGTTGTCGCTCGGAAGCTGCTCTGCTGCTCCTACTAGACTCATCGTCGGCTTGTTCAATGTACATGGTCTTTGCCTTCAACCCATTCTGTTGCTACCATGCTCGCGCACCCAGCGCTCGCTAATTCAAGTCATTATTCAAATGATTCATTTTGTTGTCATCGTTCGTTGTCATGATACCCACACTCCTGTGAGCTTCGTAGGTTATCTTCAGGCCATCCGCTGCTGCTAATGCCTTCTTCTATGTGTAGTAGATTGATGCTGTGTAGGTTGATGTTGGCTCTTTTGCTCTAGAACAGTCGTTTCGATCTTTGTCCCTTTATCGCGACAAATCTGTTGTCACCAGGGGCTGCATCGACCCCCACAGCACAACAAAGGGATACAAAGCGATGACCGGGTAAAAGGTGATAAAATCACCTTTGTCCCAAGACCGAGGTGAGACAAACTATTATTACCTCACCTCGGTCCCCGTCCCGCCCAGAGCCCATTTCAGGTTTTACTATAGAAACAGCAGTACTCCGTAGCTGTTTTGGACCTTTCTGGGACAGCCCTTAATTTAAGATCCCCCTACTCAAAAAAAAGAGTTAAGGGCTGTACTAGAAGTCATCAGCCTCGCGGCGACTGAGCGTCCCAAACCAAAGCCTCGCGGCGAATGAGCGACCCAATCAAGCAAGGGACGGGCCGTAACAAACTCCTAAACAGCTCCCAATTGTGAAGCCCAGCCCATCAGCCCAGCCCATCAGCCCATAATATCATCAACCCAACTTTCGAATGATGCAAGTTCCTGATAAGAAGGCAAAGCAATGGAGTTTCATTCTAACACCGTCGTTTTTCAACGCTTCAAACATGACAAAGCTTTCGACACTAACCGACTCTGAAGATGTAGATTACATCACCTTCGCGATTCTAGACAATGACATTGGCAACCGCTACTTGCAAGGTCTTGTGAAGACTTCACGCCCTTTGCGCGTCACTCAACTTCAATCACTCATCGGTTTTGGCATCTTCAGCTCTACCCCTCATCCACAGGACGTCCTTGCATAGATCTTGATTAAACCTTCATTTTCAGAATCAGGGCATTGTCCTGAGCAATACCAACAATTCTTCCACGAAATAAGCCATTTCAAAGCCAACGTCAAGGCAGAGTTAGGAGCAGACTTCTTAGCTCGATCGCATCCAACAATGTTTACGAAATACCTCAGACTTTCGCATCTCTTCATCCAATCACTAAACATTATACCCCACCCCAATCCCGAAGAATTCGCATCCCCCATACACTCAGACTCAGAATTGCTTAAGTGGTACCAGCAAACCCATCCAAAGTCCCTGAATCCCCTCATCCCAGTGAGTCTCCCAGTAGCAGCCCCAGCTTCAGCCCAAGTGAATCACCAAGCTCCCTAAGCCCCCTCCCATGACAATTATGATCCCTGCTTAGCTTTCACTTTGAAATAATCAGTTAGTTTGGTCTGTTTTGCAGATCTATCAACCCTGGTGTGAGCTCGAACCCTGGCATCAGGTCCACTGCCAGGTCCACCACTCCATCTCACCTCCCATTAGTTATATGTAGACAAATCTAGACAAAAGTTCTATATTATAAGTCAATAGTCGTCACCTCCATACCTTAAGCTCATGTCAGGGTTTTCTTCTCTCCAAGAAACCTTGGTGACGTACTAGTGTTCCGAGCTCAGACGAACGCGTATCATGCTGCCCTCCAGAAATACAGCGGCATCTCCTCGCTCATACTAGCTAGTAGTAGTACCTACTAGCTAGCGAGAGACCCAGAACTCTTTGTATCGACATATTTATTATCGTCCGTCCTTCGCCTCCACATCCATTATGAAACCGCTCGAAATCGCGATTCGCACCAAATTCCGGTTTATACTTGTGTTTCAATTTTGTATTCGTGTTTCGATTTTATATTTTGGATTCGGTCTTATATTTGGGTTTCGGCTTGATTTTACTAGATAATTTCCATAGTAATTTGGTTTCGGTTTTATATTTTGGTTTCGGTTTTATATTTTGGTTTCGATTTTATATTTAGGTTTCGAATTGATCAATTTGCTTGGATTCATAAAATCGTGATTTCCGGCCCTTTCAGTCTATGCGAATCCAGTTACCACCGAATCACTGATTTTCAGTTCACGGTTTGTCTGGAGCGTCCCTCAATCGTGGGTGATGGAGAAACCGACCCTAAATCCGACCCTAAATCTTTGAAACCCGCCCTTAATTCCATTGGAGAATAGGGTCGGGTTCGAAACCCGACCCTAAATCGAAATCCGACCCTAAATTAGGGACGGTTTTTCAGAAACCGTCCCTATTTTTAGGGACGGTTTTGAAACCCGACCCTAAAGGGAATCCGTCCCTAAATCCGTCCCTAAATTAGGGTCGTTTCAGATTTAACTTCATGCATGATTGAGGAACGCTCCTGTCAAAGAGTGAACGAGAGGACGGAGGAATTCAACGACAACAACACCGTGGAGGAAATCAACAACAACGACAACTTGAAGCCATTCATTCTCTGCTTACCTTATTACTTCACTGTAAGTCATGGCAGGAACTCCTCAACCTACCGCGGTTGACCTTCAGGCTGCCGAAGTGGCTTTCAAGGCAGCCAGAGGTAATGTAGACAACGCCAAAGAGGAACTCGAGGCAGCTTGCGCAAAGCACGACGCTGCTGAAAGCCCCGAGGATACGTAGATTGCTGGCACGTTGGTACATGCGCAAAAACAAATATTTGACTTTGAGATGAGCCAGCTCTGCATTGCCATGGAAAATTTGAACAGAGCTCGCCAGATTGCCTATCCATCCACACCAGAACACAATGTGTCGCCTTGGGATAGCGATTCTTTTGAGCACATGCTGCAGAGTTCTCCCACCATGAGTCATCAGCGTGGGGCCATCCACCAGGATGCCTTAAATTCGCTCAATCCTCTTCTACTTAATCCCTGGAGTACGGATGCCCCGACATTTCAGGCCACAATGGGAGTCCCTCGAATGAACGAGAACCGTAAGAAGAGCGCGAAACACTACAACCGATATAAGAAAAGAAAGAATCTAGCTCAGTGTTCTATCACGGGCATATGGGGAGATTGCAACAAGGTAATTGGGGCTCATCTCCTCCCTGTTGGGACAACAACTACAAATGTTCAGATCGTACTCAACATGGTGGGCAAGCTCAATGACCCCAGGAATGTGATTCCTATGTTGGAAACGATTGAAAATGCGTACGACCAGCTAAGACTCTGTATTGTCTTGCACGATCTGGATGGAGGTGGCAATAAAGTCACACTTCGGATTCTTGACTCGGCTTTGAAGGATGAAATTGTTGACAGCACTATGACTTTTGGAGCCCTTGCAGGAAATCCCTTTGACCTTCCAGAACGAGGCGAAAACAATGAAGGCCCCCTTCAAGCGATGTCTGTCCTTCCATGCACAGACAGCATATGCCGAAGCCAAAAGAAGGAACTGGCACCTCTTGAAAGAGGGCTGGAATGGAATCGGACCAAACCCTACCCAATACGGTTCACCACTGGACACAAACAAGATTACTTTCCTGAAGATGGCTTCCTCCACTTTTGACGAAACCTCACTCGGAAGTGGCGTCACTAACAGAACCTGAGCATGCGTGGGAACGAGTAAGCATCCACTCCTTTTTTCAATGGTGGCCTTGTAGGCCAAAGAAGAACCTACTATTCATGCCATCCACTCACAACTAGGGAACTTGCTACATATAATGACACAACGACAACCCTGCTTTAGCGTGTGAAATAGTGTGTACTCGACGCATCAACCTGAAAAAACAGGCAATCAGCGCAATCCACGCGGTCATGGTGGTCATGATAGGCGCTCCTAAATAGTCGTGTGCAAGAAGCCAACAAAGCTAAGAAGATAAACAATACTAATCTAGTCGCTTAGTCGCTACGCTCATCAAACTCAATCACTTCGACCACTGTCCTTCCATCGCATTCACCTTCAGAGTCATATAGCTTATACGCAACTAACTTCACCACCTGTTTGTCGTCCTTGTAAACCAGACCGTTCATACCATCAAGGACAAACTTAACCAAGTTGTCAATGTCAGGAGTGGTCACGCAAGCAAAAGGCAGGACCGCCTTCAAAGGGTTCCATCTTGCACGGTTTTTGAAGTGAGTGTCAGGTCTCCTCATGAAGAACTTGACCTTAACAACGACAGGTTCGTTAGAAGCAAACATAGGAACTGTGGAGATTCCAGCCTTGATCTTCGCCTTGAAAGCGGCCATCTCCCTACTCCTAGGGTTGTAGAATCCATACTTGCCAAGGCTTGGTCGAGCCTGTGACTTTGGAACACCCTTCACTCCCAACATGTAGATCAGATTGACGGACTCATCGGTAATGTCGACCACCTCCTTTGAAGAAGACATCTGAGCTTTGTGAATAGTCCGACCTAGCTAGACCCGCATCATCTTGCCTCACCGGTATTAACCAAGAATCAGTCCCGTCATCCTGCACCTCACTGGTATTAACCAACAGAATTTGTGAGATGCTCGTCGCTTGGTAACTAGACCATTGAGAATCAGTCCCGTCAGTTAAGTTTAGTTAATTAGGATTAACCCTA